TAATTATATTTTAGATTTTTTATATTTAAAATGAGATATTTATCATGTATTTGATTGTGTTTATCTGCAGTTAGTTACACGAATTCAGATATGGGATGAAATCGGATAGAGATGAAACCGTTTAAGAGTTTTTAAGAGTTTTAAGAATTTTAAGAGTTTTAACCAAATGCTTTATAAGATAGTATATATATATATATATATATAGAGAGAGAGAGAGAGAGAGAAGTCAGATCAAATATAAATCGCCTAAATGTTACTACTGTACAAACCAATCCCAACCGTCCGTGCAGATTATGAAATTAGTATCGACAACATGGATTAAATCAGTTCTGAAATTCATTCAACTTTATCTGCAACTGATTTATTAACCGTCTAAAAACTTCAAAAGACACAAAATCAAGAGCCTTAATTGGTTTCTATAATGTGTAACATTTAGGCATTTTGTATTTGATTGGTCCTCTCTCTCTCTCTCTCTCTCTCTCTCTCTCTCTCTCTCTCTCGCTCCCCTCCCTCCCCCCTTCTCTCTATATGTATACTATATTATAAAACATTTGACAAAAACTCTTAGAAACCATTTTTTATGTATGAAGTATTGTTTATTGATGCATATTACTTAAAATTCATTTTATTCGGTTTTAATGGGTGTTAATCCATTTTATTGAGCTTTATACGGTTTTATAGGGCCATAATTCATTTCTTTGGGCTTTATTCGGTTTTATTGGGTATTAATTCATTTTATTGGGCTTTATTCGGTTGTATTGGATTTTGATTCATTTTATTAAGCTTTTTCAGTTTTATTAGGCTTTAATGGGCATTACTCAATTTTATTGGGTTTTAATCCATTTTATTGAGTTTTAATCCATTTTATTGGGTTTTATTTAGTTTCATTGGGCTTTATTCAGTTTTATTGGTCTTAATGAACCTTATTGGGATTTATTCGGTCTTATTGGATTTTAATCCATTTTATTGGGCCTTAATGGGTTTTATTGGGTTTTATTCGATTTTATTGGGTCTTAATCCATTTATTGGGTTTTGTTCGGTTTTATTAGGCCTTCATGGCTTTATTCGGTTTTATATGGCTTAAATCCATTTTATTAGGCTTTATTCGGTTTTAATGGGCTTTATTCGGTTTATTGGGTTTTAATCCATTTTATTGGGCCTTAATAGGCTCTATTGGATTTTATTCGGTTGTATTGGGCTATAATTCATTTGTTGGGCTTTATTCGATTTTCTTGGGTCTTAATAAATTTTATTTGGTTTTATTGGGCCTTAATCCATTTTATTGGGCCTTAATCCATTTTATTAGGTTTTATTCAGTTTTATTGGGCCTTAATGGGTCTTATTGGGCTCTATTCGGTTTTAATCCATTTTATTGGGCCTTAATGGACTTTTTGGGCTTTATTTGGTTTTATTGGGTCTTAATCTATTTATTGGGCTTTATTCAATTTTATTGGGTCTTATAGGGCTTTATTCGGTTTTATTGGGTCTTAATCCATGGTGGTTTGATTGTCATCGGAGATGGTTACCGAGAACGCATCTCTTCCGTCGTGATTGAAAAGGACTTATGGCAGGTAACAGAGTGTT